GCACATTTAAATGTACCCTTAAAAACTGGCATGTGGAGGCCTGGGACCCTTAAGATGTAGGTTAAAAACACATTGGAGGTCAGGTTACACTGGGACACATTTAAGAGGTCAGGTTAACACTGGGACACACTTAAGAGGTCAGGTTAACACTGGGACACACTTAAGAGGTCGGGTTTAACACTGGGACACACTTAAGAGGCCGGGTTAACACTGGGACACACTTAAGAAGTCAGGTTTAAACACTGGGACACACTTAAGAGGTCAGGTTAAACACTGGACACACTTAAGAATTTAGGTTAACACTGGGACACACTTAAGATGTCAGGTTAACACTGGGACACACTTAAGATGTCAGGTTAACACTGGGACACACTTAAGAGGTCAGGTTAACACTGGGACACACTTAAGAGGTCAGGTTAACACTGGGACACACTTAAGAGTCAGGTTAACACTGGGACACACTTAAGAAGTTCAGGTTAACACTGGGACACACTTAAGAGGTCAGGTTAACACTGGGACACACTTAAGAAGTCAGGTTAACACTGGGACACACTTAAGAGGTCAGGTTAACACTGGGACACACTTAAGATGTCAGGTTAACACTGGGACACACTTAAGAAGTCAGGTTAACACTGGGACACACTTAAGAGGTCAGGTTAACACTGGGACACACTTAAGATGTCAGGTTAACACTGGGACACACTTAAGATGTCAGGTTAACACTGGGACACACTTAAGATGTCAGGTTAACACTGGGACACAGATGTCAGCAGTCAACATAAGTTGGTTGTTCACTAACATTGCTCCTTGGTAATACGTAGTTAAGTCACCTCGTATAATGTTATGATCCTCATTAACGGTATTAAATGTTGTTCATGTGTGATCAACATCAACATTGTGTCAACCAGAAGCAACACTTCACGCAGGGGTCGTAAATAATAACAAAACACAACACCCTGACTGGAACAATAACAAATATCCCTCACATAGGGAAATTATATATATGACGACTTTTTCAGTCCGTCTTGGACCACTAAGTAGTTTACTCTGAAGCGCCGAGGGAAGAGTACCAGTTTACATGTATATACGAGGGGGGTGGGACCCAGAAGTAGAACCAGAGGTAGTAATGCAGTGGCAGTTGTGGTCGTAATGGTAGAGGTAGTAGTAGTAGTAGCTGTAGTAGTAGTACTAGTAGTTTTAGCAGTACTAGTACTTCCTTAACCCCCCCCCCTCCCTTCCTCCTGGAGATACACTGGTCCGTGAGTTTTATGTTCACTCGCCATGGGTTCAAGCTCCACCCGTTCCATGGTTTATTTTACGTCCCAGGAGCTTTTATGACCCATACGAATTTAGCGCTTCCAGCCTGAAAGGTCAGTGATCGAACTGCGATCAGATGACTAACGATCCATCTCTGCCATTCCTGGCGCCGAATATATTATATAAATTGACTATTTCCTACAATACAACAATGATCATGAGTGTGATAATAATCATAATGAGGGACTAACTGCTGCCTTCTCCCCCGCCTGCGACTGCGGCCACAGAGGTGATGAAGCCAGTGGGGGTGGAGATGTGTGAAGGCTGCGGCAGGACCATCCAAGACAGGTTCATCATGAGAGTTATCGACACTTCGTGGCATGAAGACTGCCTCGTCTGTTGTGTGTGTCGCGTCCAGCTACAACACTCTTGCTTCGCCAGGGACAACAAAATCTATTGCAAACTCGATTACGACAGGTGAGGAACACATTTTTTTAATTTAAGTGATATTGAATACGCCAACAATATTCTATTATCCTATTCTATGTCATTAGATATAATAGACATTCTCTGTATGATAGATACATCGTCAGTAAGCGCGGGTTTTGTACGTCAAGTGATGTAATCTACCCTGGGCTGGGAGACTTCAGTAAGTTGGTGAGGATATTGTCAAGTATTTCATCTTTGGGCAGTGACTTCGGTATCTTGAATGGGTTGGGCACTGAGTGACGAATAAGCAGGAGGGGTGTGAGGAAGGTGTGGGCATTAGAGAGGGGTGTGAGGAAGGTGTGGGCATTAGAGAGGGGTGTGGGCATTAGAGAGGGGTGTGAGGAAGGTGTGGGCATTAGAGAGGGGTGTGAGGAAGGTGTGGGCTAAAAGAAATGAGAAGTATCATGGTTATTCTGTCTGAGAGGCTAATGTGTTCTTGACCAATGATGAATAGCTTACAAGCAGCCTTAATGACCCTTCTTTAGTTGATGGGCTTAAAGCCCAGAGAACCAGCCAAACCAGGAGTCATTTCTACCAGAAGAGCAGAACAGCAGACCTGAGCAACAGACCTGAGCAACATACCTGAGCAGCAGACCTGAGCAACAGACCTAAGCAGCAGACCTGAGCAACAGACCTAAGCAGCAGACCTGAACAGCAGGGTCACCCCACTGCTCGGCCAGAGGCTTAAAATGCGAGATTTTTTAGGAAGTAGACTCGTACGTTGAAAACAACGTGAGACCTGGACAATAACGACTGATCCTGACTGTAGGTGGACTCTCACACCAAGTGACGAAAAGAAGAATTGTATTTTCCAGCCCTGCACCTCAGCAGTGTTACACCACCTCTTTGTACGAGCCCTGTAATTAGCAAGAAATACATGCACAGATGTAGAGAAAAATGTTAGACGAAAACAGAAGTGAACACATTAACCAAAAATAAATATGCAAAGATGAGGGGAGAGGCTATGTTAAAAGAATTCTGAGGTTGATGAAGTGTTTCTCTATGCCAGATATCTGCCTGGTGAAGCTCTCAGCAAGCACAGCTTCTTGCAGGTAGGAAGCCACATAGACTGACAGGGAGAGTTCATGTTGTATTTGGGCAGGATGTGAATGAGACGGATCAAAATTTGTGATAGTTCGGTTTTGATAGTGCCTAGAGGTCTGGCAAGACACTGCCTCTCAAAGAGAGTTTTACAGCAACTTGTAAAGTCTTAGGTGTTGCAGATTATACCGTGCACCCCAGGTAAGGGACGTTACCTTTTTTCAACGGGAGATGGATAGAGGGGGAGCAGACAAGAGGAGAGGGATGAGAAAGAGGGAAAGGGGAGATCGAGGTAGGGAAAGTAGACAACGAGGAGCAGAAGAGAAGTTAGGTTGTGGGTGGAGGTCGGGGCATCATAAGGGGCGGCGAGCGAGGTTGGATAAACATCTGAGCCCAGACAATGTTATTGGTGTGGTCGCTGCGTGTGTAGACAAGCGCCTTGTACTGGGCTCACCCTCCTAGATGACCACCACATACCTCACCTACATACCCTACCCTCAACATTTACATAATACATCATTTTCACCGCCTTAAGCGACACAAATCTACACACCTTACTACCTACAAATTTCCTGCAACCATACCCCCTCATACCTACACCTCCTTACATACCCAACTCTGTTTTACCTCTCAACACTTGCTTATAAAAATTCTTCATTCCCATATCTCAACATTCTACATCCATACCTACACTCTGCCTACACGCCGTGCACTCCTATATCTCCTACACACGCCAACCATCTCCTATACTACTCCCAGCCTACACTCCACATGCCTTATACCTTCAAATCACCCTACTTAACACCCCCCACAAACTCCTTACTTTATAATCTTCTACACCCTTCATACTCACTACGGACCTTCCTACACCCTCAGTATCTTCTACACCTTTTTACACCTACTACACTTTTGTATCACTCTGCTTAACACCTACCACCCCACCTCTTTTGCTACCCTGCTACAACCTCTAACTACACCCTTCAACACCCTCTAAGTTTTTTCCGGAGTTATGGAAAACTTGCTACCCTTCTTAGAAACACTGAATCTATCTAGTATCTTTTCTATACCCTCCTAACTTCACATTTTGTGACAAACTTGCAAATACCAACCCACCTCTTATATTATAAGCACTGAACTAATCTACATTGAAGACTGTCTAAGCTTAATGTTATAAGTTATAAAGGGAAATTGGGTTGTCGGGAAATGATTAATTATAAAGGATTTTGTAATAATTAAGAAGGTGAAAAGTAATGAACAAAATAGTTAATGAAGGAATGTAATAAGTTAATGAAAGGGTCGTCACTTGAACCCTTATTTTCTGGGTTCCAAACCTCGATTTTGCGAGTTGTTTATCTTGTCAGATTCAGTATATTGTATATGTTTATTATGGTGGTGGTGGCTGTGCTGGGCTCTGTCACAACCAGTGTTGGAGGTAGAGGCCTCATGTAAGTGTCCTGGACCAGTTCAATGTTAAATGCTAATTCCGCTACTTAGCATTTTTTTTAACTGTTAAGGTTTAAATAATGTAACAATTTAAGTAAGTCACTTTGAGAATTTTAGGTTTACCCTATGTAGTTTACACACGTGCTGCTGTGTTTGATTATTTACGTAACTGTATTTATGTGTCCCTGCACCTAAATAAACTTACTAGCCAAGTCATCGACTTTACTGTGCTGGAGAAGTGTGTGTGAGTGGGGCCAGTGATGGCACTGGGTGGGGCCAGTGATGGCACTGGGTGGGGCCAGTGATGGCACTGGGTGGGGCCAGTGATGGCCCTGGGTGGGGCCAGGGATGGCACTGAGTGGGAGGGAAGGTAGAGGGAGGGAGGGGACCCGGATGGCAAGGAGGAGGATGATGGGCCTTGGGGAGGGCCAGTAATGTGTGGTGGGGCCGGAACACAATTTATTTCCTGTTTGGAGCCAGATATTGCATGGCTGCCAGTTTAATTTGCCCCTGGGTGGGGCCACTTGGCAAATGACTCATAGGAACGTGTAGGGCGATGTACCCTTAAGAGAGGATATTTACATGTTGGGATGTGCGTCATATACGGTTTGGTCCAAATACAAAATTTTAACTGTATGAAATAGGAAAAACTGCCTCACACTTTTAATGTGCTCCAACCACTTCAACAACTCATCCTCAGAACACACACACACGTACCTAACAACAACTCTACATGTAAGGGAATTGCGTCAACGATTCGGCTTAAAAGTACAAAATTTCCTCATAAATTGATAAATACCTGAGATTTTATGTGCTAACATATCACTCCGACACACACCACAGTACATACAAAAACACAACGACTCAACACACAACACCAAAACCCAACATGAAGGCTTTTGGGCAAACCCCCCAAAATTCTAAGTTCAAAGTTTTATAGTTCACCATTAATACCCGTACAATGGTTTTTCTAGTCTCTTAATATTTGTTTGGGTTTCTGTTTTTCTACGAACGCAACGTCCTCTGAGATTAGTCTAGATATTTTGCCTCTTTGGACTATGTAAAGATCTGTTTATCTCTTACTCTGCTTCACCTCAGGAACATCTCTGCCAACTTTCCGTATCGAAGAACTTGAAGTTGTCTTCCGTCATCCCCTGTAAGATCTAGTTTTAATCTTCCGAGTCATCTACTTGGGCAACCATCTGACCAACTTCCTGGTTCTCTGCAAGAGGTGACACAAAGCTGTGGTTTATATATTCTCTTTCGTTTTCCTGGACGGTGTTCCAGGGTCAACGCCTTCGGGGACCGGGCCATGACCAAGCCTCACGGTAGATCAGGGCCTGATCAACCAGGCTGTTACTGTCGACCATATGCAATCTAACACACGAGCCACAGCCCGACTGATCATGTAATAACTATAGGTATCTGTCCAGCTCCCTCTTGAAGATATCTGGGAGTCTATTGGTAATGCCCCTTAAGTGTGATGGGAGACAGTTGAACAGTCTTGGGCCCCTGACAGTTACTGTGTTATCTCTTAGTGTACTCATGGCATCCTTGCAGATTTTGGGACTAGTCCCTCTGCATTCCAAAGAGTACGGGTCGAGGGACTTCAAACGGACCCAGTAACTGAGGTGTTTGATTGAACTTATACGTGTAGTGCAAGTTCTCTGTATATTCTCCAGATCTGTAATTTCTCCTGCCTTGAAAGGGGCTGTTAGTGTACAGCAGTACTCCAGCCTAGAGAGAATAAGTGACTTAACAGAGGATCATCATTAACTTGACGTCCCTTGTTTTGAAAGTTCTCATTATCCATCCTATCATTTTCCTAGCAGATGTTATAATAACATTGTGATCTTTGAAAGTGAGATCCTCAGATATTTTCACTCCCAAGTCTGCTTTTTATTCTTCATATATATTTTTGTAAATTGTAATTATTTTGTTGGGTTATTTGTCCTTTTTGGCTTGTTTAATAACACTTTCTATTCCGATAACTCTTCAGTGATCTCTCTGTTTGAATTTTGCCAGTTCCTTATTAAGACTTTTGTAATACAGACATTGTACGCTTCCGGATTCATATTTTCCAAGTAGTGACTTACGGTTAGAGTCCTCAGAACAGTCGTCCAGGATCTGTATGACACTTTTGTTGTTTAGTCGCAGGTACCATATCCATTGTTGAAATTAGATTCACCAAACATCCTCTTGCACTGGAAATTTCTTTGGATCAAAGTATTATTATTATTGCGACCCACAAGGGTCGTGCAGTGCTGCAGGGTAGGATGTGCGAAGAGTTTAATATGCTTGAACTGAGACCAGCGATGGTGAGGAGTATAACAGAGAAAGAGTTAGTAAGGGCGGTGAGGAGTGCTAAAGTATAATCGAAGTTTGGGTAATAAATCTGTTGCTGTCAAAAAGTGAAAGAGGGAGTCTGTATCAGCGGCGGGGCCGTCAGCGAGGAGGGAAGATAAAGTAAGGGTGTTAAAGCGGTGGCGATGTCAGAGGTAAAT